GATTCATTTCCACTTTGGGATTGTCTGATTTCTTAAAGGCCCAATGCATACTTACGGTTGCTTCATGCTTCTTATTACTGTCTGAGGGGGTTCTATGCTTCTGATATATGTGTGGTCCGTCGATGTAACCGATCACAAGATCTTGCAAAATATCTAAATAATGATAAGTCTGCGTTTGGATGAAAAAGGTGAACATGGACTTCGTAAGGGTACGGATTACTTGCTCTGCATAGGAGGCTTTGGTTTCATTCTATCACATAATACCTGATGTCTTTCCTTCCTTTTTAAATCCTTCTTAAGTTCTCACTCTCTTATAATTAAATTCTCGCCCCTGATACGTTCTGATTATATTGGACATTGGGGTACTTGTAAATATTTCCTCAACCCCTTAATGACAGCATCTGGTGTTTTATTTTTCAAGAGCTCCACCCTCAGAAAACGTGTGAATACATTGATAGCTATCAGGAAGTATTCACACCATCATTGTCTACAGCTGGGTTAGATACGTCAGCTAAGTCCATATCCCAGCGGTCAATCAGACCGGTTCTAACCACTCTATTTTTCTTAGTCGTATTTAAACATATCAAATTTGCCTTCCATTTTAACCATGAATATAGCTTTGATGGCCCCGGAATGAAGCTCTATGTTTAGGATTAACATAAATTCTGTACAAATTTTCTTTCCCACCTTCAGCAGGCAAGGACCATAGAAATTATGTATCACTGACACGCATCTATCTCTCTGACCTCATTTCGCTGTATAAACATACTCTCAGGGCAACCAAAATGTCGATAGAGAACAAACTCGGAACAAACCGTTCACTTAAAACTCTTAATTAATGCTGCAGGCGAACCCATTCGACAGGCGCATGGTCAAAGAACACCCCCAAATGAAACGCGCAATAACTGTTTAACGAGTAGTATTTGCGTATCATTTAAATTACATGTGATATGCATAAATTCTAAGCTTGCAAAATATCAAAACTTTCAGTAGTTAATATCCCTAAAAAAGAACCCATCGCGAGTGAAGAGAGCTTCGGCCAAATTTCTCGGCACACAACTACCAGAAACAGCCATTGTTGACCTTTGGCACTCCACGCTGAGCGGCTTGCAGTAGTAAGGGTAACTTCATGATATGTTCGACAATAATTTGTGAAAAGAAAATTATAAACATCATCAATTGGATGAAAGACTATTACAATCCTTTTGATTTATCTAAATAATTTTCTGGAATTATCTACATGGATGTATGAGTCTTTGTAAGAAAATATCTTATGTTTATCAAGTTTGCAAATGATTTCGTTTTAAAAAAACTTTGAGACTTTGACAAGCGTAAGTGACACTAAACTACTGAACAAAGTTCAACGAACACTGAGATAAATGCTAAAATATTGGAAGATACGCAAAATCTGAACTGCTTTGCATTCTAGGTGAACCATTCAATAGTAAAATGATGCAAGTAACTAAGAAAGTAATCAAACTACTTGCAATTTTGTCTATCCTTGCTGAAACCGGAATGTCAAACATCGTGGCAAAATATGAAAGAGTTGGTAAGCTATCATCTAGAAAGAGATTCCGAAAGAGATTCACATTCAGAAGAAATTACATAATTTACTATATATCGTCACCTGTTGACTATTTTTTGACCTGGGTAGCAGACTTCACTCCAATGTTTTATATGTTTTCGTGATGGCACCGGTGCGTAGCATCAAATTTGTAAGTCTATATCCGAAATCGTAATCGATTCCACGCTCGATGATTTTCGAATTATTTTCTGAAAACAACGACAGCGGGAAGCGATATAACATTTTGATATGACATGATTATAACAACATAATATTGTGACTGAGTGAGTTGGGTTTAACGCCGCTTTAAACAGTGTCAGCTTAATGTGGGAGGAAAACCCGAAGTGATGCAGGTCTCAGACGTTTACCACTTCGGTGAAACCCACGAGCACGGGTATAGTGCTGACAAACCCAGAAACATAATCGGGGCTAACCGGGGTTCGAACCCACAATCATAGGTTTCTGGCCTGCCCAAGGGACGCAACTCTGCACAGCGAATCGCTGTGCCTTTGACGACTGGACAACCCGTGCCCCCGGACATTTTAGAAATATAATTTCTTTCGTTTGAGGGACGAATTAGAACGAAATTATTTTCTCCTAACGTCGGAAAGCACAACAAAGGGAGGTAACCTGGTTTCGTAATGGGTATATAAGTAAAGGCGGGAAGTTGAAACTTCATTCTCAGGTGCGGTGCAGTCGGGCTGGCTATATTAAACATGGACGCTGACAAGCCCATATCGGAGAAGTTAGATGAGATTCTTCGCCAATTGGAAAGATCAAAAGCCGAAATAGCGCAATCAGTTGAAGATCGTTTACTTGGTTTTCGTGAAGAATTTGAGAAAACGACCAAAGAGATATCCAAGTTGAAAGCTGATAAGGAATTTGTGTGGAAACGAGAAGGTTGTAGAATACAACACTCATTCAATACTGAAACTTTGGACAATTTAAATCAGTTAAAGTTTGCCTTAGAATTTAAGAAATACGACTACGCGGCGGAGCTTGTTGAGACTGAAAAAACTCGGATCGAGCAGAGAAACAAACTTATTAAGATTGCCGATACGTCGGAGGGTGGATGGGAGACTGTAAAAAATTATGTTGCACGAGATGTGGCGTCCGACTCCGAAGACGACAAGAAAATTACAAGAGCAGAAAATAAAGCTGTCAAGAAAATCAAGTCCAAGATGGGGCGTTCTGCACGCTGTCCGTACTATAGACCACGTGGTGGTCGTGCTCCTAGTGCTACTGTCTCTTCTGCAGAGCCAGCGGCAGTCAACAGCTTCTCCATGTTCAATCAGCCCTTTCGGAGGAACTCATCAAGTGGAGCGTGCTTCTCATGTGGGGGATTTGGCCATTTCAGACGTCAGTGTCCGATGTCCGGAGAACAACAACCCGCTCAGACTACAGGACGAGGAGGAGGATCTGCCCATTAATAAAGAAACTGACTCACAAGTTAAGTATGACGTAGGTCATAGTGATAATCTGACTGATGATTATTTTGAATATGAACAGGGCCATGCAGAAATCATTGTGAAGGATAGGCTAAAACAAAACATTGCTTTTTGGCGTCGAATCGGAAGTTCAGACTACGTCACTGATATCATAGAAAATGGATACAAAATTCCGTTTTATTCAACACCACCCAATACGGTTTTAGGCAACAACAAGTCTGCTAGATGGCACGAAGAGTTTGTATCAGAGGCTGTGTCTCAATTACTCAAAAAAGGTTTAGTGGTGCAGTGTGATATAAAGCCTACATTTGTTAATCCTTTGTCAGTGTCAATCCAATCTTCAGGTAAGAAGAGACTGATCTTAGACTTGTCATGGGTCAACAAGCATGTATGGAAACAATCGGTGAAATATGAAGATTGGATGACAGCCATGATGTACATAAACAAAAATGACTGGCTTGTAAAGTTTGATATTCACTCGGCTTATCACCATATTGACATATTTCCACTTCATACCCAATACTTAGGTTTCTCATGGGGGACTGGTCAAAAAATGACATATTACAAGTTTCTTGTTTTGCCATTCGGGCTTACATCGGCGCCTTATGTTTTCACCAAGGTGACCCGTCAGTTGGTAAAGTATTGGCGTTACAAAGGCTATAGAATTGTTACTTTTCTTGATGATGGTATTTTGTCCAGTGACTCTATGGCTAATACTACGATTATTGGAAATGCTGTCAAGCAAGATCTCATAAAGTCCGGTTTTGTACCAAAAAGTGAAAAATCTTTGTGGGCTCCATGTCAGGTTATGGAATGGCTAGGCTTAATAATTGACACGAAGTGTATGAAACTATCAATCCCTCGTCGGAAGGTTGATAAGTTACATCAGAGTATCATCCCGTTATTGAAAGGAAGCGGTATTGTCCCGGTTAGAAAAGTGGCTTCAGTCGTGGGGCAGGTGATAAGCATGAGTTTGGTTGTAGGATCTGTCGCTCAGCTCATGACTAGGGCTTTGTCTATGCAGACGGTGAGTATAACATCATGGAATGAGTTTGTTGTGTTGACACAGTACAGCAAACATCAACTCGAGTTTTGGTTACATGAGATAAATAAATATACAGAGAGAATATGGTGTGATCAGTCCATAGTAACGAGAGTGGTATACAGTGACGCCAGTAGTGTCGGCTACGGAGGGTATTGTGTACAGTTTGGTGAGGAACAGTCTCATGGGCAGTGGTCGGTGGAAGAAGCTGCGTTGAGTTCTACACACAGGGAATTAAAGGCAGTGTATATGGTTCTGCAGAGTTTTCTCCCTTTGCTGAAGTCACACAGAATCAAATGGTTTTCTGATAATAAAAATGTTGAATCGATTGTAGCTAAAGGATCTATGAAATCTGGGCTGCAAAGCATTGCTATGGACATTTTTAATCTTTGTCTCCAAGGTCAGATTCAGTTGGAAATGCAGTGGATACCCCGGTCAGAAAATGAGAGATCAGATTATCTTAGCAAGCTTGTGGACACGGACGATTGGGGAATCAGTGATTTTGTATATCAGCACATACAGAGTATGTGGGGTCCATATGATATAGATGTATTTGCCTCGTATTATAACAACTAGGTTGCTCGGTTTTATTCCATATATTTGAATCCTGGATCATGTGGAGTGGATGCATTTACCATGAGTTGGTCTGAAGGCAACAATTGGATAGTGCCACCTGTTTATTTGGTATCTAGGTCATTACGGCATTTGAGAATGTGTCAAGGCAGGGCTACGTTGATAGTTCCTGTTTGGTATTCAGCTACTTTTTGGCCATTGTTATGTCCTAGGGGAGAGTTTGTTTCACAGGTGAAGGAAGTGGTTTATCTGCCTACTTACAAAGATGCATATGTCCCAAGCAGACAAAGCAATGGTCTGTTTGGTGTTCATGATTTAAATTTTATCATGATGGCGATTCGGGTTCAGTTTTGATTTTCCTGTTACAGGTGTTTTTGATCATGTGTTTGGTGACGAGATAGCAGAGCTACCGCCGAGTGTGAAGGAATTAGCCAAAGCAATACCGGGACTGCTTAATCATGCCAGAGCGACTTCCACGTGCAGAAAGTACAAGTATGGTTTCCGTGCTTGGAGAAAGTGGGCTGTTTCTAACGGTATGCCTGTAGGGTTACCGTTATCTCCCTTACATTGTGCGCTTTATTTGCTGTCAGTTATACAGCGGTCGGGTTCTTTTTCGCCCGTGCAGTCAGCGTTTTATAGTATTCGACACTTTCATGTTATTGTTGGTTTGCCCACCCCCACGGACAACACGTTGGTGATAAATTTGTTGGAGGCAGCCAAACGGAAGTTAGTTAAACCCGTTAAAAAGAAAGAGCCTATTACGGTTGAAGTACTTGAAAGGATGTTTGATTGCAAAATGCAAAACCAAAATGTATATAATTTGAGAACTGTGTGTATGTGTTTGCTTGCATTCGCAGGTTTTATGCGGTCTGCTGAGGTGCTTAATATTAAGCATGGCGATTTGTTGTTTTTTGATTCTCATATGAGAATATGTGTTTATAGAAAGGTCCAAGACCGATGTATACAGAGATGGAGCTTGGTTGGTTATTGGTAGAACAGGGACAAAGATGTGTCCTGTGAAGTGTATGGAATGTTTCTTGGAAAAATCTGGATTAAAGAAAGAAACTAAATTCAGAAACTTATCTTTTCAGAAATCTGTCCAAGACCAGTGATGGCTATATATTTAGAGCCGAAAACAAACCGATGTCTTATACTCGGTTGAGGGAATTATTTATTGAAGCCTTTAAGCCTTATGTACGTGACATAAAATGCTACGGTTTGCATAGTTTGAGGTCAGGTGGAGCAACAGTGGCAGCCAATAGAGGCATCCCTGACAGAATGTTTAAACGACATGGTCGCTGGAGGAGCGAGAGTGCCAAAGATGGCTATGTTAAGGACAGCATCGAAAATAGATTAATAGTGTCTCTTTCTTTGGGGCTTTGAATTGCCCGTTCTTTGTTTCCTCAGTCAGTGCACCGTACAGTACCCCAATATGTTGTAGTTGTGTATTTTGTTGTGTTAAGGGGGAGAAGGAGGAGAAATATAATTTCTTTCGTTTGAGGGACGAATTAGAACGAAATTATTTTCTCCTAACGTCGGAAAGCACAACAAAGGGAGGTAACCTGGTTTCGAAATGGGTATATAAGTAAAGGCGGGAAGTTGAAACTTCATTCTCAGGTGCGGTGCAGTCGGGCTGGCTATATTAAACATGTTCGGTTATCTATGATGCCGTTTGGAGTACACGTCGGTTGAATCTATATTTTTTATTATTTATGTGTGTAGTACCTGCGGCTGTCAATATGATGATCAGGATGTTATGCGTTGCTTGCAAGTTGTGCTGGCGAGCCATGATAATACGTCGTGAGATGGATCGGTATCCATAGTTGAAATCTCGAACACTCCAGTTGTGAGAGTATGGATTTGGGATATACTCTGATGAGTATGCGCTGACGAGCCATTAGAATACGTAATAAGGCGTCGATGCCTGTGTATATGTACACGTTGAAAATATGAAGCATCGAATCTATATTCATGTAAATTACGGTTGGTTGATGGTCATGATGCTGGTGATGTCCCTGATGCGGACGATGTTCATGATAATGTGAATACTTGTTGAAGAATAAACTGCGGTCAGTCAGTGCACCGTACAGTATCCCAATATGTTGTAGTTGTGTATTTTGTTGTGTTAAGGGGGAGAAGGAGGAGAATATCAAAGGAATATATTAGATGTTTTTAAAACATTTGTTACCAAAATACTTGGTGATTTTGTACCCAAGAAAATATAACTAAACCTATATTATCATTTTTATTTTTTCATGCTTATTGCAAACAATGAGCACAGGATTATCATAAAACATTTCATCAAGTTCATAATACAGTTCGTGGTACTTGAGTGAGGTCAGTCCACATTGGCAAAACTCATATTGATTGTTTGGTTTCGATAGGAAAGTGACTCTTGTCACAGAAGAAGAGGCCATTTGTTTTACCTAAGTTGATTGTATTGTTTTGATAGGAAAGTAGTCATAAAAGTAATGTGTATTTGGGAAACTAATATACAATTATTCTGGGTACAAGATCACATACCGGTTTGTGTATTGTTTGTTGTTTAACGCCGCACTCAGCAATATTCTAGCAATATGACGACGGTCTGTAAATAATCGAGTCTGGACCAGAGAATCCAGTGATTTACATCATGAGCATCGATCCACGCACTTGGGATACGATGACATGCATCCACCAAGTCAGCGAGCCTGACCACCCGATCCCGTTCATCGCATTTATTTTGAATTTTTCTGCATCACACTGACTGATAGACGAAAACCTGTTGACCACAGTTCAACAGGTTTTCCTTTAGAGACATGCATGAGCGTCACTTTCACACACCTGAGCACACTGCAACAAACCTGGAAAGTCCTGCCAGACTCATTTGATTGGTTAGAACCCAGGAACAAATACATGAGGTAGGATATTTTCCTTGTACTTTTCTCCAACAGAAGAGAACTGCAAGAATTGTCAATATATGTACATATATATATGTGCCCGATTCCTTTTTCAAACGATGACATTCTCTTATAAATATATGGCTACCTCGCCAGCTGAAGTGCAACCCCGGTTCTTGTGATTAAACAAACAATAATCACCTGCACTGTTATTCTATCATATTACAAGTATACTTTTGAATTGTTTGGTTTGGAAACAAACCACTTAATACACAACCTTATTGTCTATATGAGTTTTGTATGTATATGTTAAGGATCTTATCTATTTAGTTATTATTAATGGATTACTTAAATAAAACAATGACATCAAATAGTTACTTATTCACATAATTGATGTTCAGGTGAAAGATAATAATTCAAGACTGATCAGTTTCACTGTGCTGATGCAATAACCAATACCAAGTGTCTGTGCACATATTTATTGTGGAAAACATAACTACAGTCAATGCTCGTTAATCCGACACTCGTTAATCCGATAATCGGCTTTATCCGACACTAATCATGGGAACCGATTCAAACAGAGCTATTTAGACCCGTTTATCGCACTCCGACTCCGACACACCTCATTTGCAACGAATTACCGAAATCAATCATTAATTAGCTTCAATCCGACACAGTGATCAGCGTACTCCGTGGTCATCTGCCCGCGAGTCCACAGCCCGTGTTTTGATGCGAGGCGAGTCGTCTGGTAGCTGCATATTACAACAGTTGCAGAGATAAATTGTGTAAATGTGCTTAACAATAAACAATTAATGCTTTAAATAAAGAAAACAGGATTAATTTAATCACATGCTTAGAATACCTCAATCTCATTAAAGTCAGATACTAAATATAAAAATATAACTTAAAATTTTACAAGCTGCCGATGGATGATATCCGTTGGCGTATTGCGTGGGACAGAATTATTATAGTGAAAACAAATTCATCAGGTGTGTACATCGCGGATACATGAATCATATCCATTTGTACTCAACGTAACATCGCATGGTGATCCTTATATATAAGTTCAAATAAATGATACCGAGAATTGCAGGTGGCATGTTTATTTCTAGGTAGGTAGATACAATGCTATTCTATAGATGCAAGTGCATTTGATGATACATCAGTGACGCTCGAGTTGATTTTGAAAGCCCGGCCATGTCGGACTGAACACTTGTCAAAGAGACTACGTTGAGAGTATGAGGAAAAGTGGGTGGGTCAAATGGGGTTTAACGTCGCATCCAAGATTATTGCACTTATATAGCGACCTGAATGTACGTGTGTGTGTTTGTGTGGCTGCTTGTACTAGTCCGGACTGATGCCGATTTATACTGCTAGCTCACTGAGATACCACGCCGCAGACTCCGAGCCGACGAGTCCTTGTTTTAGCCCCTTAATGTCGTGCGCCAGACAGGGTAACAACAAGTACCGTCTTTTGGTATGACGCGGCCGGGGATCGAACCCCGGACCTTCCCCTCTCCGGGCGGACGCTCTACCACTAGACCACGGAGGCGGTCGTATTGGTAAAAGAGCTTCACTTTTACTCACGTGTCTGCGTAAAATACGACGATCAGTGACATCATAAAGTGGTATTCACTTAAACATAGTACTATTTAAAAGATGTAAACGCTATGCAGGACAGATGGAAATTTGTATCACGATAGTTGGAAGTACTTAAAACGATTCAAATCCTGTTGCGTTTACCGATTCCTCTTTTTTGTGTAACATCGCTCAGCAACGCGCACAGACTGTCCGAATGTTTGATGTTCAAGCGATTTACTCGCAATAACCTAATTATCCTACACGTGTTTTGGTTTGTGATTGTCATTAAAGCCATGTGTGTATGTTGATTAATAAAATGTATGTATGGTCGTCGATGATGGAGTAATCTGCCAATAGTCACCGTGATCCGTCTTGACCCACCCCGGCCCGACTTTCAGGCTATCCCGCATTAAAAGGATAAAACAAGTTATGACAGCATGTTCGGCTCGGAGTCAGTATGATGTATCTGAGTGGGGTATACATGGCTATCAGCGGCAAGGTATCTCAGTGGGTTAGCTGGCACTACAAATCCAGCACACACACGTCCACGCGCATGCAGGTCGCTTCATAAGTACAATAATGTTAAACCCCGTTTCACGTAGAAATGGTACCCCTATTGACACCCTCTGAGGTATCTAAATCAGCCGTGCCACCTCTGTGGCAAAATTTGACAGGTCAGACTGCAGTCGGCGGCTTCACACAGGTATCTGCTTGTACACAGGTAATATGATGTTAACCTGAATAACGCTTCTGTCAGTATACCTGACACTGACAGTTAATTAATTCCAATACATTGGTATCGAGAAACATTTGTTACAGTACTGTGGACACTTGAGAGACGTGTTGCTGGGTCAGGGTCTGTACGTGTCTATCTCCGCTTGACAATGTACTTCAGAAATCACCAAGCAGTACTGAGCTTCTATTCAATGGCTCGTATATAGAGAATACTAAACGAATACCAATGTTATGAAACGAGTAAATAGTTTAGGTATCGGACGAGCGAAAGCGAATCAGAGTCCAGAACTATTCACGAGTTTATTGGTGTAAACACGGGAGAGAGTTTAGTATTTTGTTTATTACTTGTCGTTTAATTATTACTTTTGCTAAATAAATAATGCTCATCATGTTAGTGATCTGTCATCTCTATAGGCAATGTCGTTGAAAAGGCCCAGGGATGTTTGGGAGTTATTTTATTTGTTCGTGAACTTTGTTCCCTCAGTACATACCGTACTTCCTCTATTATACGCCCGGGCTTCTATTTATTTCGGACAAGCCTTTGACCCGGCGTCTATTAGAGGCCCGGCTTCTATTTTTGCACTGAACAATTGACCCGGCTTCTATTAGAGGCCCGGCGTCTAATAGAGGCAATACGGTAAGCACTAGCTTTGGTATTACGCAATGTACAATACAGCTGTATGTTTACTGAACGGGTGAGCTCTTCAGGGGTATAATAAAACCAGGTTGTAAATGTAAGCAAACACGACACTGGTTGTTCCACTAACGTCGACTGTAAGCCCAATGTCAATGTTGAAATGTCATTAACTGACTTCCCTTAGGGCGCCTGTAGGGTACATGTATTCACATATCACAATATATAGACCCTGTCTTCATTCACAAAAAGCTGCGCAGTTATTATCAACAACGAGATTTCGCAATATTCAGTCCATAAGGGTAACCTACATCTGCCGCTGTCTCCTAACATTTGTCGATAAGTATGACCTATATTTGCCACTGTGTGAACCGCTGTCACGTGAGTAAATGTCTGGATCAAATATTGTCCGGTTAGGTAGACGTCCTACTGTACGTGACTAACGTTCCAGTGTGAGATAATGTCCGATTTGCATACAATTATCCTACCCGAGTACATATTGTGCCAGTGCATCCTATAGGCATAGTAGATGTTAAATCCCAGCGGACTTGTGACCGCTAAGTATGCCCCGAGGTTTACAGAATGCAGACAGTCATAAAGGCACATATTGGGCGTATTTGCAACACATAACATCGATAAAGTGATCGATCAATAATCACTATGTTTTGCCTGTCATCTCGGGTGTTGTTTAGCGCAGTTTCATGCTTCCTGGCCACTTCAGTTGATATTGAAACATGCGTTAAATAATGTCAGAGGTAAACAGGATTGTGTATTTAGAGTCATCCACAGTGACAAATAGGTTCCCGCTCGTTTAACTGTATTTAACGATCCCGTGTTTCCGTACCAAAGCCCAGTTTGAAATGTTACTGGTTCATATATGATAATAACCTCGCTTCTTAAATATCTTGATGTTGGAGTGTGTACTGCAGGTTCATGACGCTGGATATGGAGTTGCTACAGAGGCTGCCTTACCTGGAGCAGCTACTGGACTGGATCAAGGGGTGGGAGGAATGGTTGCCTACAAGTCCCACCGCCCGGGCTGTTCTACTGGGACTAGGCGTCGGAGTAGCCGTTTATCTGATCACCAAGAAGAGGTACAAGCTACCCCCTGGACCCCGTGGATGGCCGTTGCTTGGGAACCTCTTGGGTAATGTTATGAGAAGCTGTGCTGTTAATCATAACCTGAATACGCCATATGTAGTGATATAAATTATACATCGAATGTCTACGGTCATATTCCAACTACACCGGGACATTGAATGTCACTGGTAACACTCTAACTGTATAAGGAACACTGCATATGACTGGGAACATTCTAATTATATCGGGAAGAATGTATGTCAGTGTCAACATTCTAACTAAATTGTATATCGGGAACAGAACGAATAACGTCTACTAATTTCTAAGTTTTGAGAAAGGGTTTCTATATCAAAGGTGTGACAACGCTAAAGTGTTGTGGACAATATCATTGCTCCATGTTTTGTTTAAAAAATAAAATTCATAAATATACATATTTTATCAAGCCAGCTTTACTTATAAATAGAATACCAATTTTCATACCTTTCTTGGTATCTTCCCGTTACCCAAAGATATTGTAAATATTATCATGCTGACCTTGACTTGCGTTTGCATCGACGAAGGAAGATATATTCACATTTTCTCGAACACCCGGTGTCATCACTAATTGATAGTGATTCATAAACACGTGCTTTATGAAAAAGTCGGAATTGTTTGGACTCATATTTCATATCATAATGTATATGTATCTGCACAAAATAAGCATGACTAAAAGAATGCATTTCGGCATCAGCAGTAACACCCACATTGTTTTCGAGTAAGTAAAACATATATATAAGTTTGAAGTAGCAACATACAAGTATGTTTGTTTGCTGTAATGTGTTATTATGCTGCCTTTCACGACGTCAATTTGAGAAACGCAATTGCTATGGAATTAATGTATGGACATTAATAACATGATCAGGGACAGTAGTTGTCCCACAGGAAACATGGTCTTAAACGAAGTTATTACAACTACAGAGTTCCGGAATGCAACTATCTACGAGAAGATGACGGAGTGGAAGGCTCGGTATGGTCCCGTTGTGAGCTTTAATATGGGTATGTCAACCGTTACACATCACTGATACTTCTGAACGTTTGAAAACTAAAATATAAGCTTTAACCCCCATCTTTTCTGTTCCAGTGTTTTATATCTCCTTATAACATATACCCTGGACCCTGTGACCATAGCTTTGTGTTGAGCCCGATTCGAATGTCCAGTCCAGTCAAATGACACCTATGAGCAAGAGTGAGTGAGTGAGTATAGTTTTACGCCGCTTTTAGCAATATTCCAGCAATATCACGGCGGGGGACACCAGAAATGGGCTTCACACATTGTACCCACGTCGGGAATCGAACCCGGGTCTTCGGCGTGACGATCGAACGCTTTAACCACTCGGCTCCCCGACCGCCCCTTATGAGCGAGAGAAAGTGATGAGAGAGATGAGGATGGTGAAATCACTTGGTGAATCTACGGTAGCGAATGGATGAAGGATGTTCAACATGTTCAGTGTGAAGATATATTACACTGGATATTAGTGGATTCGAAACTCAGAATCAACAGAATAATATTTGTTGTGAAGAATGCAAGGCATTTGATCCATGACAATATCGAATTATATTCGTGTCATAACATCATCGAAGAAGTCAGTCCTATTCAGTTCTCGCCATGAGGCTCAGATGATCCCAAGCAAACACTGAGGAGGTTTTATTACATGTGCAACTTAAGGAAAAGGTAATTTGATTTTACCAGTGTAGAAATTGATATAATAACAAGAACGTTTTCTCGTTACAGGACCTATGACAATGGTGGCCCTCAACAATATAGACGTTGTGATGGAGGCGATGGTCAAGCGACAGGCGGACTTTGCAGGGCGCCCCAAGTCTTATTCATGTAATTATAAGAGCATTCATTCACAGTTTCATAACTATTTCCTGCTCAACGATGCTCATCAAACACGATATGCGTCATTCTGCCTTGATAATATTTTCGTTTTACAAATAATTTTAAAGATCTGCACGTCTGATAGTGATCGACATTGGCTTGATGTCCAAACAGTCTGTACATCTATTTGTGCTAACTGAATACGAACATTGATGCAAAAAGAGGATAATTTGGATAGCCCGTCTGCTTTTATCCCTGTTTTACCCATGCTTTACTCCATTGCATATGACGACATAGAACTATCCAAACCCTCCTGTTTGAATGACCAACTATTTTCAGAAAATGGCTGTATGGGTGCCTATGTCAGTTGTGGTAGTCGTAAATAAATGTATTATTGCCGATTGATTCATACATACACGTGCACCCTGTATCAGGGAAAGAGTAAATACACAATGGTTTTACAAATTGTTTTAAATATCTGCACATATGGTTGTGATCTGTGTTGAAGCTTGATCCCATTTAGTCTACACAATCTGTACAATCCTTGGTGTTGGCTGAACAAGAACATTTCTTGCCAAAAGGGTAATTAAAATTGTGTGTTTGTTTGCTTGGTGTTCAACGCAGCACTCGGCAGAATTCCAGTTATATGACGATGGTCTGTAAATAATCGAGTCTAAACGAGACAATCCAGTGATTGACCTCATGAGCATCGATAAACGCAATTGGGATATAATGACATGCATCAACCAGGCAAGCAAGCCTGACCACCCGATCCCGTTTGAAGAAACAAACAAACAAACAAACAAAATTTCTACTATCCTTCCCGCCACAGTGTGTAGCGACATAGGAACAGCCAAATCCCTTCAGTTGAATGACCAAATCAAAAATTGTAGGATGTGTGCCTATGTCAATTGTAGTAGACAGACATGAATGTAAATTCATTATCCAAGAAAAGCGTTAATATTCAATTTGTTCACAGACTTACATGTATATGATGTTTCTGCCTAGCGCAACTCCTCAGCGACGGAGGTAGGAGTATCGCCCTCGGAGACTACAGCCCTACTTGGAAACTACACAGGAAGCTGGCTACAAAAGCTTTGAAGTGAGCTACTTGATATAAGAGAGATAGTCACATCATGTATCAATTTCGCAGGCTTGCTGAAATATTTCTGCTAATATTGAGGTGTGTTTCCACCCATGATTTCACAAGGCAAGATGAGCTTTTAAAAAATGTAACAAACTGTCCTTAATATCATTTTTATAGAATAAGTATCACCAATAAGTACTATAGTTTAAACATTTTTCTATTGAATTATTGAATATATGAAAATATGATAAGTTTTAGTTATTGTGTTCTTGTTAATGGGAGATACCTCCGCCAATACTAATATCGACTGTGTCGACCACAGATGCCTCCAGCATATATTAATAGTCAGTTTCACAGCATTCGGGTCCACTCCGTTTATTCAGCTACCTACGTTATGGCTGGACACTAATGGAGTAGTGACATTGTGAATTCACCGTAAACGTCAGATTCCGCCACATATTGTTTATGAAGACAGATTGTCCCATATAGTACAAATGATGAAGAGAAGATAGTGTTCAACTCTTTATTGGCCGAGTCCTTCGTAACAAATCATAAAATAGGTTCTGAAAAATGAAATAAATACACTCCTTAGTGATAATAAAGCAAATAAGTCAACTACAGTTCTTGAAATGTATTTAAACATTCATAATTGAGAATGGAAGCAATCTTTCAGGAGGCAATTCAGCCATCACAGTGGTATGACCAGGCTGACGTAACTTCCTGCACACAACATAATCTTCATAATACTCTTGGCTTGGTTCCGCCCGCGCACAACCCAATAATATATCCCACTCTCGCACAATGTTCTCTCTGGACCAGCATGACCCATTTGCACATGAACATCACACATTATCAATCTGCACACATGGTGACCTGGAGACAATAGCACTGGGTGAATCTGATCACACTGCAGTGGAGAATGTCTGAGTCTACCTCCTACTCGAACAATACCCTTTTCCTCAAAGGGAGCTAGATCACAGAAGTCACTCTTCCAATCACTCATTCAACGTTGGACACACTTGATCCAATACAATTCCGCTGCTTTCATCTCTTCACAACGCACTGTCATATCATTATCCTTATTTGTGAAACCTTGTGTATCTTGTCCTTGAGTTTCCTTACAAACCTGAGGCAGTATGCTGTAACTCGCAGAAGTCGTTGCCATGATGAAAACTTATCTGCTTCTATGACAGGGTTGATTGGTGCACAAGCAGCAAAAGTTGGACACTTCCTTTTCTCTTCACTGGATTCTGTAGTTGCTGCATCATGGGGCTAGATCGGCCACTCATAAGCTGGTAACTTCAAGAATTCTGAATTCTTCTACCATTCAATTCCTCCACTGAAATTCCTCTACTAAGACCATCTGCAGGATTTCAATATGTTGGCACATATCTCAACTGAGATTGCATCTCGGCTATGCAGATACCAACAAAGGCTTTGAATGATATTGATTCTGCTCTGATCCAATGAAGCACAATTTGTGAATCTGTCCACATTATTACATATGACAGCTTCTGTCTGATTTCTCTTTTGATCGTCGTAGCCATCCTTGAAGCAATCAATGCAGCAATAAGCTCCAATCTCCGTATGGTTGTCTGATGCAATGGTGCAACTCTAGCCTTTGCCATGATCAACTGTGTTGAAGTCTCATTTTCTGTTGCACATGTGAGATATGCTGCAGCTCCATAGGCTATCATACTTGTGTCTGCAAAGACGTGTAGAGGTGTTGTGTTCATGGAATCAGGAGGTTTCAAACAGAGTGGAAACTGAACATCTCTCAACCTTTGCAGTTCCTGAAACAGGTTCGACCACTGAACACACGTGCACATGTCTTTGGGTACCTCATCATCCCAGTCCAACGATTTCTGACGCCAGATATCCCACATAGCTACTCTGGCTTTAATCGTGATGGCTAAAGCTAGTCCAAGTGGGCCGTACAACATTGACATTCTGGATAATACTTGTCTCTTAGTGTATTTCTCTGCAACCAGATTCTGTCCAGTGGCTAACATAGCATTAACCTCATTGATTTTCTTCGTAACTTTTTCTGGGGTTTCACACGAATGAATCAGGTCGTCCATATACCTGTCATCTCTCAAAATTGCTGATGCATCAGGATATCGGTCCTATTTCTCTTCAGCAATTCGAAGCGTTACATAACTTGCCATGTCTAGAGTTGACTTATCACTGAAAGCCACCCTGAACAATCTGTACACTGACGTCTCTCCATAGGAATCTGTGTAAATGAGTGTCACTCTCTCTCAACCTGATCTGAAGATACATCTTAGTTACACCAGTCGGATGCATCTTTAATTGCACCAGTCTCATGGCATCTGTTAAATGTGCTTTATCATGGAAATGAATTTTGAATCTTTCCATGACATTCACATATTCCAAAGGATCCCCCGAATATTTAGGAAGAGTGATATTTGGTGTGTCCCTACTGGCTTCAATCTTGATCAATGCCTCCGCTACACTCATGTTTGGGGTGTTGCTTAGACAGTGTGTTGTCGCTTGATACTCCTTCAGTGAAGTTATCCACCCATCAAATCCTTCACTTGATTATAGCGGAATGAAAAGTCATTTGAAGCAATTCGAGGCCCATTTCGTGGTACAAGAGATATCAGAAAACAGGAACATAGTGGTCAGTTTGCATCCCTCCTGGGAGGACAACATACGGGAATTCTTTTACAATCTACACGATGTTACAAAGAAAGCTATGCTGATGCAAGTCAATCATTGAGAAGGGGGTTTGGTAAGGAACAATATGTACACAGATTTCAATTAGATTCAGCAAATAGAATGCAGAAAGAAGGTGAGACACCATCATCAATACGATTTGCACCAGAAACATTGTGCGAGGAATTATTCTCTGACATTAAGAAACTTGAGACCAGATTGTGTTGCCGACTGACATTGATGACTTTCGCAGTGCTGCAGTTGCTTATGTGGGACAGCAGCGGATGCTTATTGGGGACAGCAGCAAATACGATATGCTTCTCAAAAACGCCGACAGACTCCAGCTTGGCAACAAGATTGTGAACTTTACCTTGATTTGCCTGATTCAGGACCATACAGATTTTGAGCAGTTGTAAATAGTATTGCATTCATTTTCTGTACATATAGATTTTGTCCTGAACAGTCCTGTTCACAAGTCAAAGTTAAATGTTTCATGGAATGTGCATTAATATGAAGGAAATCCTGATGGGTCTTCATGGGTAGGGAGTGTCAGCGTCAGGCCTTCACAGTCTGGCAGTTGGGGGATGTTTCTGTTGCTATGTAAGTGTAAGTAATGCTTAAGGTTTCAGTGAACGGTAAGCACATGAAAACATGGCAGCCAGTTAAGTGCCTTAACGTGTGACACATCCTCCCAACCAAAGGAGAGCTCCTGATAACCTTGCTTGTCATTAAACTACATCCCGGCCATTATATATCACTCGCTCTGATCATATCTGTATGTTCTCTCTCACTGCACAGACACTACATGACGGGTACCCGCCTAGACCAGGGGATAGAGCGCTCCCTCACTAAAGGCATAAAGCTGATACAGGAGATGAAGGGGCCATTCAATCCTCATCACGTCGTCTCCCTCATTGTGTTCAACATCATCAACAATATCTGCTTCAGTGTCACGTGAGTGGAACATTTTCCAATCTTCTTACGTTTAGACGTAAGACAATAATGACTTTGAATAGAATCCCCAGGAGCGATGTAACGATGTATCTCATGCATTGATATACGAAAAAGTGATACGTTCTGGATATGTGTACCCAGTTTAAGTTTATACTATCCTTGTGAAAAGGGGTAACGAACCATGTGTGGATATGATAGAGGGGAATGTATGATATAATAATGTAATGTGTTATTGTAAGGTACTTATGTGCTTCCTTTTCTCCAGCATGGACACTCAATCGTATAAGATGTCTTAGAAATAACTGACCCGTGAAGACTTTTACGTGACAAAAACGGTTTCTCATATCAGAACAGAAGCGCCAACCAATGTAGATATTAGGTATTATATGGGTTTTTGAATGTCGCTGTTTGGTCAAGAGATACACTGTCAGAGAATCATATAAGTTTCGAATGGATTGTTTACTTTTTGCTGACCGAGGAGATAATTGGAATTGCCGACACATCTTATGCCTGAGAATGAAATAGCAATTGATGGGTAAAGCTGATACGGTTATAATAGAATGCTTTTATATGGTAACTCCAAATGTGGATCTGGGGCTGTTGGTGTTTTAGTGAACGATTTAAACGGTATCCCATCTTCTGTGCCGAATAATTTTATATCGTTACGCGAGTGTGCAGAAACACTAGACCAGGTTGTACAGACACTATAGACGCGTCAAGTTTGAAAAAACTACGCGTATGATGTATTTGCTGATACTGAAACTAAAGAGATGCAATGTTCTCTCCCTGGTAAAACTGTGACCTCTTCAAATTGGAACGCTAAGAAAGAACGTATTAGAAAGGAGTGGTTGAATGACAATCTGTCTGTGTTGTGGAACGACATGTGTGAGGCCGAGAAACGTTGGCGCGAATGTAAAGAAGCTCGTAAGAATTGTTTTAAGAGTATTTATGTATCTAAACTTAAGCGTTTCGATAAAGCCATCCACAGGGCTAAGCGAGATTAAACTCGTATGACGCTCCAGGAACTAAAGGATGTGTGTGATTCCGATAACAGCGAGTTCTGGAAGAAGTTAGGATGTGTTGTTGTGGGTTACGAAAGAAAAATGAAAATTCTCATGGAAGTCGAGTTGGAGGATGGAAGTACAAGCAGTAACACAGAAGTAGTGTTAGATGCATGTAAGAGGGTATATTGTGATTTGTTGAACTGTATAAGTTTGTGAATGAGAATGCAGTTTCTGCCCTGAAATCACAAATTACATTGCAGGAAGTAATACACGTTATTCATCAATCAAAGGGAGGCAAAGCATCGGGATTTGACAATATTACAGCTGAGTTACTAACATATGAGAACAGTTGTATATTTCTTCACACAAACTTCAATAGGTGGTTTGAATCTTGTGCAATACCCTGTCCCCAAGTCATCTGGCAAGCCTAGATATCCTCTAGCCTACAGATGAATCACACTTCCACAGTATAGAATATGTCTGTGGCATCATAAAATATCCAAGCATGTTGAAGATAATGAAATAGATCACGATGCACAGAATGTTGTCTGGACGAGGTGATCAACAACTGAACATATATCCATCAAGACATCAATAATTGATTAAACCTTGTTAGACCTGCTTTGAGGTTTTATGTTTGAATTGTTAGACCTGCTTGAAGGTTTTACAATTGAATTATAAGACCTAGTTCATTCTGACAAAATCGTTTTTCACATGAAATTTCCATGAAGTAAATCGAACCTGCGCCCTCACATGTCATTTCTAATATTGTAAACCACTGTTTTCCCATTGAGCCACCCATAAAGGCGAAGAAAGGGTGTTCAATCTGACATGACATGATGACTCCCTCGTGCGCTGTGATAGAATTCGTTTTATACCGCGACTGCTTTGTTGTTTCAAGGTATCCAAATGCAGTCCTCGGTTTTAGTTGAAATTGTAAATCCTCAAGATCGTGCTTTTCCCTCGCTCTCGTTTTTACCTTTTCCAACGAAAGCAAGGAGGGGTGCCTTGGTTATAGCATCATGATGGAGTAGCCATGTCATTAACATATTCTCATATAAATACGTTAACTTTGTGAATCCCATTAATGATCCAAGCATATTTATAATATATTTAGTATTTAAATTACTTTGAGCTTAGCCTTCCATGTTGCACTGGTACGACATGGTACTGTCAGTAACAGTCTGAACCACTCTTTCAGATGCGACGTTCATGACAACTACTTCAAAGAGATGTTGCATATTCTGGATGCCTTTCTGGATGACTTCGGCAATGGCTTTCTTGAAGATGTCATTCCTCCCCTGCGTCTCTGCCATACCAAGAAGCTGAACACTGTATTGAAACAATTTGCCAAATTCTTTGGCAACTTGAATGAAGGAATTGACAAACATCGACAGACTATATCCAAAGGTGCATAATGTTTTATTAGTTCGTTTGAGGTTCATTCTCACGCGAGTTGTCAACTATTTTACATCACCCATTCTGGAAAAGTCATTTCCTAATGCTCTCCTTGATGACAAATTATTATTAATACCCCCCAAATATTATTATTAATAATAATAATGTAAAAATGTAATTAAATAGTCCAAATGTAATACGGCGCCAGGACCTGATGGTATTAGAAACCGGTTTTGGAAACTGTTTCCTTATGTCCAAACACCATTACTTCATTGTTTTAATTCTCTTGTGGATACAAGGGATGTTTTGCCTTGCTTGTGCAAGGGTCGAACAATACCAAAGAAAGGTGATTTGACTGATCCCCAAAACTTCCGCCCTATTACTTTTTTGAATACACAGCACAAAATATTTACAGGATGTCTTACAGATATTGTGTCATACGCATCCGATGACATTATTTTTTGGATTTTGAGGTCACTGGAATGTATTGAATTCCCCAAGCGACTACATGTTTTACTAAAGTCTTTAATGAATTGCTGGTCAACTCAACTTGAGATGTATTCGCAGGGGCAGGTGGTGACTTCGGAACCCATTTCCATCAGAAGAGGCATATTCTGTTTGTCACTAAATCCTTTAAGGTTTTTGCTCAGCAAAGAGGAAGTTTATCATGCTGGACCTCCTCAGCACAGATCCCCAGCACCAATTGCTCAACTCCTTTACATCGATGACCTTGAACTTATTGCCAATGGAGGATATCGGCATGTCCTTCGGACTCGACAAATGCAACATTTTTTATTTGAAACGTGGCAAGGTAGAAGAGGGACGATCAGTCAGTTTACTTGGAGGAGGAGTTATTGACCATCTCGAGGAAGGCCAGTCCTATACGTACTTAGGGATGCAGACTAGGGCAAACTCCTGAATGCACATATGAAGGAAAAATTTCGGGCAGAGTACAAATGTAGACTTAAGAAAATCTGGAGTTCAGAGCTGAATGCGTGCAATAAAGTAAAAGCCACAAATACTTATGCTGTAACCATCCTTTCATATTCGTTTGGTGTTGTTGATGTGGACCAAACAAGAAATTCAGGTTAACGCTGGGGCTGTTCATGATAGAATTGTTTTGTGAACTTTGTACACATTTATTTGTCTGATGATCCTCTTGTGAAGCATGTCAAGACTCATGATGAAAACAAGGCATTCCACAGTTTAGTACGAGCCAAGGATGTGGGACATAATCTCAATGTCGGTGTTGATTTTGTTGATCGTTCTGTACTGCTGGACGGTACAGAAATTAGTGTCAACCAAGCGAAGTGCAATATCAAATCGGCCCAGACTCAGTTTTTATAAAGGAGAGGCTTTCTGAACGACCACTGCATCGAGTTCATGTGCAGTGTGTTGAGAAGATCAGCAATCCTGCAGAGTCCTTCTCATGGATGAAGTCGTCTGGCCTGAAAAGTTAAAAAGAAGGCTTTCTGTTTGCTGCTCAGGACCAGTCACTTCAAACTCAAAACCATCAATGTGTGATTTTGCATCAAAATGTAAATATGAAATGTGGATTATGTACGGAATTTAATGAGACTGTCCAACACATTGTCAGTGGATGCCCAGCTTTGGCACAAACACAGTATCTTAAACGACATGATGGTGCAGCTCGATCATTTTATTACCGTCTTCGCCATGCTTGTTTGACACAGAAGTCCACCCATGGTACGACCCGGAATATGTAGAGAACATGATAAATACCAAATTCTTTGGAATAGGCCCGTTGACAGCTTCAGACGTATCTAGGCCAACAAACCTGATCTTGTCCTTTTTGATAAATCCAATGAAATCCTTTATGTCATTTAATTTTCTGTCCCTTCTGACACTAATATGATTGACAAGATTGAGGAATAACATGGCAAATATGCAGACCTCGCTTTCGAAATGTTACGCTTGCATCCCAAGTACCAAGTTGTCCGACTCCCCATTGTTCTCGGTGCCTCAGGTTTGGTACCTCCCAATCTTTTGACTGACATTGGGAGAGTACCCGGGTTTGCTACCAGGAATACAACCCTTCTGACAATCTGGGTAATGCAGAAGGCTGCAGTGTGCGGGAGTTTTCACATTGTATGAAAAGTTCTGGTAGGGTTTGACAAGGCAGCGCCTCCTGGGAGAAGTCCAATTCGCTGTCTGGGCTGCGTGTAGAGGGGGCAACGGCCCTGAGCTGATGATGAGCCTAACCAGTCTGACTGTGCCAGGATCACCCAAACCCTCTTTGCTGCATTTTTTTTAAATCTGTACATAAAAAACACATTTCTTTCCGCAAAATGATATGTTTCGAAATGTCAGCGAAAGGTTTCAAGAGTTTTAGAGCATCTGAGTCTGATAGGGATTGAATTCCACAGAAGTGGGGCTGCGACGGAAAAAATCTCCCTCTGCAAGTCTGGTTTTGGGTACTTTGACTCACAGTTGGAATTTGAACCCAGATCGTAGATTTCGTGTTGGCTCATACACTTGAATTAGTTCCTTGAGACACGGGAGAGTCCAGTTATGCGATATACTATCATTCCTATTAACGGAAGTCAATGAATATGCACATAACTATAAGAACAGTATTAATGTATACCTATGTTAATCGTTCTGTTCATTATGTTCTCATAACAGATAACACCCGTGATTTCTGTGATGCCCTGTTACTGGCTCAAGAAGAAGCTCGTGACGAGGAGGACCCGGAAGTGATGTCACAGATGACTGACAGCCATATCACTCAAACCCTCTCTGATATATTTGCTGGTATATATTTGAACCTACGCTTCTCCATGTTGTTTCTTGTTAGTTCCGTCTAGTGTGACTCTCTTCTTGAACGTGTTGGCTTATGGTTACAGTTCATCATAACTATATTGTGTCGAATGGGAAACTCTTTGGCACCCAACTCCCGGAAGAAATGGTCGATCCTTACATGCTATGATCTGCATAGTCTGAACCAGGTTCAAACTTCCAATTGACCGACAATTGAACATTCGATTGTCAGAGAGAGGATGAATTTAAGATACATGTGAACTTCCATATTCACTTCGTTTAATGATATACTTTAAGTGATTGTACTGTATCCCTGCAGCCGGGATGGACACCTCTCGCTTCACGCTGCTGTGGACGCTGCTGGACCTGGCTCAGCACCCTGACATCCAAGACAAGCTTCACACGGAGGTTGACCGTGCACTGGGTAAGTTCATACCCTGATATTATACTACGGTATTATGACGACAAGTGATATGTTCATACGCTGATATTATGATACGATGTCATGATATGCTGATAGGATGACACGACAAGAATCGGGTATGAAGCGTAAGACGACAGCAGCTATGTTTATGTTAAGGTAAAGTTCGGCTAACGGTCGAGAGAGTACATGAAGAAATGTATGCCCTGTCGCTAACACTCTGAAGCAGTTAGACATTGACCATTTATACTCTACCAAGTCGTGTTGATGCGATGGCATCTGACAAGGTCTCCCTTCCCGACCACATTGGTCACGTTTTGTTGGAGATGCATTACGTAGCGTGCACGTGGTTCAAGGTCAGTGACGTACTTACCTGTCAATACGTAAGATCTGATAAATTATTATGTGTTACCATAACTTTTATGCTTACAGGTTATGGTTAAGGGTCCAGCCAAGGGGCTCAAATTTGATTGGGTGATTCACCAACTATTCGGTGAATATCAAAAACACACAAAGGCAACATAATTTCAGTGCACTTTGGAACCATATTATAACAGTATGGGACAAACGGAGTTTTATAGAAAACTACTGATGTGGTTTTTACTCTAATAACACGGGGATATAATGACACACTGGGTGATGCTACGGTGATATGATGATACGATGGTATGGTGATACAATATTATCATACAATTATTCAATATAGTGAAATGATGATACGCTATGGTGATACAATGACATAATTGTATTGTTGTATAACAGTATAATGATGCGATGATATGGGTTTCGTTGATGATGAGACAGTGATGAAGATACGGCTGTATGATAAAAAAGTGATGTTGATGAAAGTTCGAGCAACGGCCACCCATGCGAACTGGGTTTATTTGAAATTGGTAAGATATCAGACATGAGATTATCTTTAGTTTATTCTCGTGAGTGATATATATTTATGAATGTCCAGGTGCAAGTCATTTCCCCAGTGTATCAGACAGGAATAGTCTCCCTTACACTGACGCTGTGCTACACGAGAGTATGAGGTTGCACACCGTGGTGCCAAGCGGACTTCCCCACAAAACACTGTGTGATACGAACGTCGGTAAGTCTCCTTTTAAGGTTGTCCAATAGTCGATATTCTGATTAGATATTTTATAGATCTAAGCTTCAAACTTTATTTACCATATTTACTATTCATGTTTTGCACTTGGCGCATTTATTAGCTTGAGCCAAATCCACATTTCCCAACGACATTCCAGGGCAACTAACAGGAGTTTACAATGCATGATCCCATTTCTTATTACCGAAAGCCTGTCGTAAACTTTGAAATAATTCACTTTTCCTTGCTATGTTAGTGGTAAATAATGTTTTGATTTATAGTCCACGTATGACGGCTTTATCCTCTTTTTCTCAATAGACGGACTTAAAATATGTCGGGAAGGACCTCTGTGACATAACAGTTCGAGTTGCGCAGTGAATTCAAAATCATACATGCACATCCTTAAGAGATCCTGCCAGAGAAGCAGCCAACAAGGGGACGTTTGTTTGCTGTTCTTGGGTTGAGAGGGTGTGGTGGTTGGGTGTAATTTAAAATATTATTATTACAAAAAAAAATTATTTTTAAGAAATGGGATCATAATGAAAACATAATACAGAACAAGTTATAAAAGACTGAAGAGGTTGTTGGTTATCAATGGTTATCAGTATGAACGTATTTCAATCATTAAATTTTCAGGTGGTTTTGACATTCCTAAAGGCACTACCGTGTTCATCAACCACTACGCTTTGCACCAGGATCCAGAGCAGTGGCGGGACCCGCAAGTGTACAATCCAGATCGGTTCCTTGACCATGATGGCAAAATGGCTGCCAAACCAGAGAGCTGGCTTCCGTTCTCCGCTGGAAGAAGAGTGTGTCTCGGAGAGAGCGTGGCCAAGCCGGAACTGCAACTTCTGCTTGCAGGAATCATGAGGCATTTCAAAGTGTCCCTCCCACCTGGAGCTAAGGTGAACCTTGAGCCACGTGGAGGATCTTTCGCAAACGTTCCGCGTGCTTATGAACTCACTTTTGAATCGAGAATCTAGCTCAGATTTTTTCTGTGATGGATATGTATAGTCATGAACACGAACACATTGTAACAGATGAGTAACAAATATGTTTTCCATGATAGTGTGGCTTTGTTGATATTCATACATATTCTAGGAATAATAATTTTGCTGGATATATATGGACCATTAGTGTGAAGCCTCCATGAATGAGTGCAACAATGAAACGGGAATTCAACGTTCCTGTCAAATTACTGACACCTCAAGTCATTATTAGAGCCTGAACTACGAGGGGCGTTCAATAAGTTTTGCAGTCGCAGAATATCTTTTGCACTTTTGATTTTCAATATAATCTCCATTCACCTCAATACACTTATTCAATTTGTCCATCAAGCTTTTAATACCACTTTTATAGAAATCCGCAGATTGGCCCTCTAACCACGCCTCTGTGGCAGCCTTTAATTATGTCCTGGTCATCCTGGATGCGTCTTCCACGTAGGGCAGATTTCATTTGCCGGAACAGGAAATAGTCACTTGGGGCTAAGTCTGGGCTGTAGGATGATTTAACTGTACAGCCCAAACTTGGCCCGGGGTAGATAAGGGCCATGCTTGCCGTAAAAGGCGACTATGCTTGACTAAGGGAATCTGGTGGTCAGGCTCGCTGACTTGGTTGTCATCGATCCCAATTGCGTGGATTAATGCTCATGTTGTCAATCACTGGATTGTCTGTTCTTATTGTTATACCCGCTACTGTTCTGTTTCACCTGTAATGTCAAGTAGAGACTTCAAGGAACATTTCTACATGAAACATCAAATGTAACTCGTTTACTTAATTCTGCAGCTCCATACGTTTTTGAGGTATTGTCTAAGGTCCAAAACAGTACCTGTACATGATGTTTTTGTCAGTAAATTCCAATCACAACTCACCAATATCTTTTTTATTTGTCAAATGTTTGTTCTATCCGATGACATTGGTGTCGCCCAGCTCCTGTGGTCAGTCATCCCATGCCATGATTTTTGCAATTCGCATGGTTCAGAAATAAGGGTGTGCTGAATTTTTATCTTTGTGTTTATTATTTAAAACTGTTACACCATTTTAGCCGAAATACCAACTTGAATATAAACACAAACATGGTTTATTGAGCAGCAGTTGTAACAAGTATATAACAATGTCATTCAAAGAATAGGAATTACACAATGGGCATCCGGTGAGTTATCACTACTGGGGTCAAGTCTTATTGTTGATAGTCATTTGGAGACATAAATACGAAGTTAATCAATGCGAGCAAATCCACGCGTATTTTTCGCATTTAAATCACACTCGCGTTAATTTCAAGATTTACAGTAGTCGGAATCGTTGCTTTTGGCAGAGGTTTCTTATGAACATGGTTTGGTCGCTATGATTTATAAATGAAAGCAGATTTGACAAACGCGTATTAGGCAAGCATTTACAGAGGATAAATGACTTTGTAAACATGATTTAGTTCATGTGTATTCTTATAGGTTGCATCAAATATTAGGTGTCCATATCCATTTGAAATGTTTTAACGTGTTTGTATACTCAACCGTGAAAATGACACCTGTTAGATAATTAATTAATTTGGAGTGTGTTCCAATTGGCTAAAAAGTGTTGTTAAACTGATTTTGAAACCCGTAAATGCTTCTGGGTATTTCACTGTAAATGACATATTTCTTGATAAGTATTTTTCTTCTATGGGTTAGTAATTGGTCCCCGTTTTAAGATGGAGAATACTAGATTTCGTGCTTTTACCTTTGATTTATTGGATCACATTCCATACCTTGGACATGACCGTTCGTGAATTTATTTTTGAAACTATTTCGCCAAGATTGGCGTTTACGTTGTTAAAGTGTAAGCCGTGCTTTTGCGCTTAAGATTCTCAATTTATTCAAATTGTGGACCATTGCGAATTGGATGGCGACAAAAATTACGTTCCGCCTTTTCCTTGCCTTCCTAGCTTGTTTGAGGTCATCGTTTAACAACGATTTACGTATGTGAGGATGCTGTGGACTTGGAACACGTTCTTCAGCTATTTTGTTTCGTTCATCACAAAAGCATTTATAGGGTCAAGAAAAGCGACCAGGCTTTAGTTTGGCTGTACAAAGAATGTCATATATGAAAGACCAGTTAGCTTTAGTAAAGTTCCATCGAGATGATGGAGGAACATCAGATGGGGTAATAGGTTTTAGAATGGCAGGAAAGTGGCCACTTCCACAGAGGTCGTCAGGGACTGACGACTCAAATATATTCAGCAGGTAGGAATCTATAACAGACAAACCAAGAGAAGAGAATATGCCTGTTTCAGGGTGTAAATATGTTTTTGAATTATCATTAAAAAGGCATAAAGCATTGTTGGAAATACAATCTTCAAGGATCTTGCCTTTACTATTTGTATGATCACTACCCCAAAGTGGATTATGTCCGTTCACATCGCCCATTGTGATACAGGGCTTAGGAAGCTCGTCACAGGGAGCTTGGAGATCGGTTTTCTGATGAAAAGATGCAGATGGAGGAATGTAAAGAGAGCACAGAGTAAAAACAATGTGCATGGTGATATGAACTCCGATAGCTTGAAGCGGGGTATTGAGAAGAACTCTGCTTCACCTAGACTCTCGAACCTCCAGTTGCCTTAGCCCCTGGAGGTGAAAAATAATTATATGAATCACATTGTCTTATGTTGAGTTTGAGATGAGTTTCAAGTATTTTCCTTGTAAACAAAAGGCTAATGGCTTCAAATAATGTGTCAGTAGCTGCAAATTAATACAAATGTTCTTTAGGCCTCTGCAATTCCACTGTATTTAGAGTTAGAAATCTTCCTGGTGATTCTTGACCGGGAGGGAGGTCTACTCCCATGGTCTGTTTGTGATGGAGTGACCTCCATCGTCAAAGTCTCAAATAGACTCATAAAATGGTGGTATATACACTTTGGGACATCAATCAGTTCCATTTATCTCATTCGGAGCTTTCCAAAGGTATATTGTGTTTGTGCAGGTCGATTCCTTGTGCATGGTCATGTTCGGGCAGCATGCTTGACATTTCGAAATTGTTACGCTGTTCCTTCACATATTTTATAAACATCCTAGCGTTTACGGGGCCTTCATTTAGTTGATTAAACTCTAAGGTTGTCTAGAACCTTGAAATCTTGGACGCGACGTTAAGCCCAATTTCACCTCACGTCACCTCACATATTCATAAATATCTCTTAAATATGCATCTGAGGGACAGACTATTTGATATTCCGTTGGGGGCTGGGACTTTGTATGCAGGCTAGATATTTCTGTTCAGCTACAGCTGCAAAATCAGATATTTGTTTTAATAAACACTATGAGCCTACAGATTTTGGTGATACAAAATGCACCTTGCAACCATGTAATATTTGTTGTTGAACACTTATTTTTTCAGTAGTGTGAGCATAATTGTTCTGTTCAAGCATTTTCTGGGACGGTTATCTCCCAAAACCCCTACATCCCATTTCCCCTACAACCCAGTTCCCCTACAATTAGTTAAAACAACACGCGGCATTTACCTGTCTGGCATTATGAACTCACCTAAAGGAGAGATTAAGGTCTGGAGTAGAGGTAGTAGAAATGAAAGGGGTAGAGCTTTAGGGGATTAGGGGACTTAAAGGAAAGTTTTAAAAAAAAAAGAATTAATGTAAGTGTAATGAAAGATGCCTGTATCAAGAGAAGACAATATTTAGAAATTACAAAAATAACAATAGGAAGAAACAATTATTACACTGAGAAACTGAGATGAGACGATTTACAGTTGAGATGGCTAGGTTTCGTATATAGATACTTGAAACTGACTAACATGACCCAAATTCACACTACCTAACTACGACTGAGTTAGAACTGACAGAGCTAAACCGAAAACAAGAAGAGCCGCAGGAGGACTAATCACATTTATCAGGGAAGATATAAATTACGAAGAAATAAATATAGACACGCCAAACCTAGAAGCCAACGGCATTAAAATCACAATAAATAACCGAAACATAAACATCATAAATATTTACCACTGGGCGGAACAAAAAGTCCAACCTGAGGATCTATACAAACTACTCCAAATAAGCGATAAATCTACTATATTCCTAGGAGACTTTAACGCTCACCATCCTACATGGAGCATAGATGATAAAATAGATAATCATGGCAAATTAATCTCCGAATGGATAGAAACAAACGACCTAGTACTCCTTAATAGCAACCAACCCACGAGGTACGATAAGATAAACCAAAAAATGTCGGCTATCGACCTTACCATATGCACCGCAGATCTAGCCCAAAGTACTCAATGGGAAGTGCACGACGTCCCGCTAGGTAGTGACCACTTCCCCGTAAACATAACCATAGGAAATACAAACGTACCAATCCAAACAGAAAACCAAGAACCAAAATTCCATTACAATAAAGCTAACTGGGACCAATTCCAAGATACCTGCAACGAAGCTAACTTAAACGAAATAGAAAATAATGATCCAGAAACCTATTGTAAAAACCTAACAGACTATATAATAAACGCAGCCAAAACCACCACCCCCTTCAAAACATCTAAGACAAATTCTATATAAGCAACCCCTAAAACCTCCCTCTTGGGTTGCACAGACCACTTTCGCCCCTTTCGGAAACACATTAAATGGCCTGGCCGGGCCCGTGTGCGAAATACGCATCAGTCGGAAAGCGCACGTTAAATCTCCAAAGTAAGTAAGTAAGTAAGTACTAACATGACCTAAACCAAAACATCAGCCCCAAAAACCAAGCTCTAGCTCGTAAACACCCCTTACTTACCCCAATATCCCAAAGAATAACAAACTACCTAAATGAACACCAAATTAAAAATGTATTTTGAATTTTGAAAAATGAACATTTTGTTATAATATATTATGAATTTTGAATAATATCGTAATCGTAATTAAATGTTTATCTCAATCTATTCGTGTTTCTTGGGTTGTTTCATTGTATGAGATAGGTAACAGACTAGGGATTAGCATAGCCATGGACCGTGAACTTTGTTGTCTTAGGCTGTAGGGGAAATGGGATGTAGGGGTTTTGGGAGGTTACCTCTGGGACAATTTATTTTTCAGTCGATGTGTGTTATTCATGATAGGGAATCCAAACTTTAGAAATTGAACTTTTCTGGCGACTGCATCAATTATATATGGTCATCGTCTAAACACGGGCATATTCACTAATACAAATGATTTTCTCTGTATGATCTCACATTCACATTATATTGAGAACTGAATTTTTCAATAATTTAAAAGAAACAAAAAATGCATAGCTGAAAAAGTCAACATTTAATGGGATTATGTCAAAGCAATTTTCTTTTCCTTATAATAACTTAACAATTTTGACACTAACACACGGGCCTCCTAATTGTAGAATGAAATGAAACAATTATCTTAACTAAGAAACAATAACCCACAAACACTCCTAAATAAACACTTAATTGTCAATATTCATGTGTTTACACTTTTACTTAGCACATCCTTTAGAAAGTTCTGTTATGTTTGTATACAGCTCTACTAATTGTCTTCCATAACGAGACACAGTTTGTCAACAGGTCGCACAAATTCTGAAGAAGCAGTCTTCACTTTTACACTTTTTTTTAACACACTGAATAAGATTCTCACCGCTTGCTGCAGTAGTTTGTGGAGCCAAGTGTTGATTGAAGTCTTCTTGAAGAGGTAAGTTTATGTTATCAGGTAAGTACCGTTTACGTTCAGTGTTGAAATGTTCATTTACATCTTCATTCACAGGAACAGGGACATATGGATCGTGCGGTTCTAGTGAACGTTCTGATTTCACACTACCTCTGTCAGAGAAATAATCTTGAAGCACTTTAGACTTTGCTTGAGAAATCTCCATTTCTGTTTTCATTTCTAACTCTTCTTCCTTCATTTTC